GGGAACATAAACGTTATTGTTAGGGAGCATAAATGCTACTGGGAGGGAGGAGAAGCTGCCGGACGGATTTCTTCGTCGGGTCCATTAGCTGGAGTGCAGAGCAGATTAAAGCCTTCAGTCAATAGCTAATGACGGACCGACAGCGAGCGTTAGCGTTAGCTCCTTAGCCGATGCCATTATCGGCTGGACGTCAATTAGCTCGTTTTCATCTCAAACACTCAGCAGCCGAACGCAGCCGTCGTCTGGAGACGCTGCAGAGAAACAGAGCCGACGGGCTGAAGCTGAATCCAGCAGCGAGGCTGGATCTGGTTCAGCTGCTGCTTCAGTCAAATGTTGTGTTTCTGGCATCGAACCACATCTTTAATTATATTAAAGTACAAGAGCAGACTCTGTCGACATCTTTGTTTCTGTGGTTCAGCTTGTCAGAAATGCTCAGTCAGTTGGAAAAGCTACAGGAAAATACCGTCTTCTTTCATTTTTGTCACCAAGTGTTGGTATTAAAGTGTTCTATGTGTTTATTAAAGTGACCTGCAGCTGCTGGATGAGACTTTTAACGACGCTTCAATGTTTTTTTCATGTTTCAACTCAGAGATTATTTGATCCACTCGTCCGATGTTGCAGATTCTGAATCAATGACACGATGAGACATAACAGTGAAGATTCCAGGTTTCTGTCGTCAGTAGTTTCTGAGATGTTTCTGTTCAAGCAGCCTCAGATTTCAAACACAAACATGATGATGAATGATTTTCTCCTCCTCGGTTTCAGCCGCAGCATCCGTCACCATGACTAAAGAGGAGAACCTGGAGGTGCAGGAGAAGGAGAGACACGACCGGGAGGAGCAGGAGGAGGGCCGGGTCCAGAGAGAGGAGGAGGAGGCCCTGACCGAGGAGGAGGACGAGGAGGAGGAGGAAGAGGAGGACGAGGAGGAAGAGGAGGAGGAGGAAGAGGAGGAGTACGAGCTGGAGGAGGAGCGGGAGGCGGAGGAGAGGGCCGAGGTGGAGGACGAGGAGGAGGACGAGCCGGAGGAGGAGCGGGAGGAGCGGGAGGAGAGGGAGGAGGACGGGGAGCCGCCGACCGGCCGCGAGGTTGAGGCCGAACCAGAACCAGAACCGCTGTCGGTGTCCGAGTACCAGAGTCCGGTCCACGAGCCGAGGCGCCGAGCCATGGTGCACCCGTCCGCCCAGGCTCCGCTGCCCAAAGACTACGGTACGCCATACCGCCTTAAATACACAATGTCATACCGCCTTAAATACTGCTGGACCGCCTTAAGTACACACTGGCATACCACCTTAAATACACAATGTCATACCGCCTTAAATACTGCTGGACCACCTTAAACACACAATGTCATACCGCCTTAAATACAGACAGATATACCGCCTTAAGTACACACTGGCATACCACCTTAAATACTGCTGTAGCGCCTTATATATATAGACTGCCATACCGCCTTAAATACAGACAGACATACCACCTTATACATATACATATGTACTGTCATACCACCTTAAACACTGCTGGACCGCCTTATGAACACACTGTCCTACCACCTTAAATACTGTAATACTGCCTTAAATACAGACAGACCTACCGCCTTAAATACTGCTATTCCAGTGTAAATACACACTGTCATACCACCTTAAATCGTCTTCATACTGAGCGTTACATTACAACAGGTGCAGCAATAGACTGAAAAATATGTTTTGTAAATTCACCAAAAATCAGCCGTTTATTCTTTCCAGATTCTGTAAAAAACTAAAAATTCTGTGCTGCTCAGAGTAACCGAGGAGATGTGAGTGACTCATCTGTGATCAGCAGTCATTTAGCAAAAATTCTAAGAGTTTTCAGGTTGAACTGTTTTCGAGTGTTTGAACAAACTTTCCAACAGTCCTTGAACTAAACACGAAACGTCCTGAACGACGCTCTTAAATCGCTTAAAAGCACCAGAACAGAGCCTGACAGACAGCCAGAGACGTGAGGGGAACCAGGGGGCAGAAACAAACCCAGCTGAGCTCCTCCTGGTTGGAACCCGTCTCTCGGTGCTGCGTTCGGTGTCGGTTCGCTCTTTGAAAAGCTCAGATCAGTGAAATGGAACCCGGCTCAGACTGCAGCGTTCACACTTCTGGCCGTTGTTTCGGCTCCTCGTCCTTCCTGTTTTATTCACTCACAGCCTTTTGTGCTCCTGCAGCCTTCACCTTCTTCGACCCCAACGACCCGGCGTGCCTGGAGATCCTGATGGACCCGCGGACCTCCGTCCCCGAGCTGTTCGCCATCGTCCGCCAGTGGGTCCCTCAGGTGCAGCACAAGATCGACGTCATCGGCAACGAGGTGAGACACACAGACTCCTCTGACACACTGGTCACACACAGTACGAGATTATCATTCAGGTGAGTTACCTGTGAGAAAATAATAGATTCTTGAACGTTAGCTTTATAAAAAAAAATCCAAAAAAATCATTTTCAACTCTCCGACAGTCCTTGAACTACTCATATGTGACATTCAGCAGAAAAATAAACATTTCTGATTTAAATATTTGCCGAAAATAAGTGGTTTAGTCCATGTTCTGTAAAAAACAAAAAATTCTGCATCCCTTACCGCAACTGTGAAGCCATAACAGTCTCATCTGTGACAAACACTCATGGGACAAAAATTCACCAAATTTAAGCTTAAAATATGGAAATTTCATTGACGCTGTTTTATTCTCCTCGTCTCATTTAGAAAAACACCAAAAATAAACCATTTGCACCAAATCCATGAACTGTCTGAACCTCAAAACCCCCTGGTGACGTGTCATCTTTAAAAAAAAAAAAGGCCAAATAAAGCTAGAAACTGCCAACAGGAACAGAAATAATTTAACTTCCTGATGGTTCTTGAACTACTTGTGTGTGACGTTCACTTCTGCTGGAAAATTCAAACAAATCTGAGTTTAAAATTTTGCCAAAAATAAACCATTTGTTCAACATATATTCTGTAAAAAACAAAAAATTCTGCACTTCAAGGCACAACTGAGAATCCATCAGTTGCTCAGCTGTGACCGACAGTCAGGCGGCGAAAATTCAGATCTCTGGAAAAAAAACTTCACGTAAGTTTGTTGTGATGATGAACTGACTTCAAATTCACATAACATAACATAAAAAAAAGTTTTAAAGTGTTTATTTATGGTTCCTTTTAAAACAAAAACACCAAAACACCACCATTTCTCAGAGCCCTAAAAACTGAATGACTCATCAGATCTTCAGCTTTCCAACGGTCCTTGAACTCACCATCTGTGACACGGGGTTCTGTCAGGACATTTAAATTAAAGCTGAAATAATTTTATTGTACGTGTGTAATTTTTTAAAAACTTGCTAAAAATTAGTAATTTATTTTAACCAGATTCTGTAAAAAAAAAAAAAACTAAATAATTCTGAGCTCCTCAACACGTACCACCTTAAATACATCGTTATACCACCTTAAATACACACCACTACACCACTTTACATGTATGCTGGGACAGTCGAGGCATGTTTCTGTTGGTTTCAGGGTGAGAAGCTAATGCTAATGCTAAAGA